TAAAAATGTGAAACCTCATGTGTGAATATTATTATAACTATCCATCAGTGACAATGAGAAAAGAAAGAAAAAAGAAATTACTTGTTTTATCTTCCATATCCTTTTTTAATAGCCCCAAATAAACCTTATGTCGAAATATTGTGCTTTTTTCATCAACACATTATAAGACATGAAACGATGCACCTCGTAACTTGAGTCTTGCAAAAATATGAAAACATAATACAGTACTATTAAATCCTAACATACATGCAAGCTTGTACACATCAAAATTTGTATTTCACTATCTATGACAGACATTTTTCTATTCATATATGTTTAAATTAAGCAAACCATCTTTCATTTGGTATACCCCATCATCTACTCATATCAAAATGGCTTCAAGAAGCAATGCAAGTACAAACATTCAAAGAACTAAAACAAAATAATACCATGAGCTGCATAGATTACCTAGACCTAAACTTGTTTCTATAGCCAGCATAAATTTATCCTATTAGGATCAGAGCAAGTAGCCAGACTTCACTGGTCCAAAACTAGCATATGAAGTTGTCACCCACAGATGGTATTTCATGTATATGAATTTTTACAATGACCTTAGATATATGATCTGATTCACTTATATCGACATACAGTTTATTAGAAAAATAGGTCACCAGTCTCTGCTCCTGCACTAGAATACTTTCTAGTAAGCTAGTGTATTTACATTGCAAGGTTTTCATCTACAAATAATATTTTCCCCATTCAACCTTGTTCTACATTCCATGCCATACCTATATTACTCCACCTAGTACTAATTGGGAAAAAAAACATAATCAAAGAAATTTTTACACAAAAATTGAGAAAAACATGAAGGGGGAAAAAAAAAAAAAAAAAAAAAAAAAAAAAAAAAAAAAAAAAAAAAAAAAAAAAAAAAAAAAAAAAAAGTGGACATCACAACTCACAACTATTTATGCCTTCACAACTACAAATCTGCAGTATAAAGAACACATCAGAGTTAAGCCATAATTTAGGCATAGCAGCAGATATTAGCTACAGCAGCTTTTAATTATGATAACAATCATCATCATTACCATCAAAGGTAAATTAGTATGAAAGACTAACCTTGACTAGAGTTGTAACAAATACCATATTATTATGATGCCATGAAACACTATAACCCCTAAAATAATAGTAATTCTCGTAACCATGCTATGCTTGATGCAATCTACACTTTGGGTTGTAAATGCCACATTTTGCAATCTTCACAGAGTAAAGATTTAATCCTTTGTTGGTATTACATAAATTAAGCATTAAGAAATATAGTTGTACCCTTTCAGCATGATCAAAATGCAAAAAAAAGTTAATAGAAGTATTTTTCAAACTGGTCTACCAAGAGCTTTCATGCATTGACTGAAGATTAGCAAAAAATATTTAATTACAAAATTGTCACTATTTTCACAGTGAACATTATATAGAACCTGCCTCCCTTTCAGGTAAAATCATTACTGCAATTTGCTAAAAAAAAAATCAACCACAATATTCTTAATGTACACAAATAAATGACATAATGGAATAGACAAAAAACAAATATTCCATATCATTGCTCAGTAAACACATGCAATTGCAATCACTTCAGCATTTCAATAGTTGTCAGATGTGAAATCCAATTAGTAATCACACACACAAATCCCTTGTGTACTTCCTACCTTGCTCTAAGTTTTGTTCACACTTTCTAGAATAATAATACAAAATTAAACGGAATATAAGAGTACATACAAAAAATAATGCAAAACTTTACAAATGTACAGACTTATGATGTAAATGCACAACAGAAAGACTCCTTAAAAATAGTTGGTGAATGAAAAACAAAAGAGTATAGGATACAAGCTTCTGAAGAGCAGAGGGAGAGAGGTGGGAGGGAGTGAGAAGGGATAGAGTGGTAGCGAGAGAGCAAGTGAATGAGTGTCTATTCATGTGAAGGTGATTTTGCCCTCTTAGCGATCCATGTAAATGATATAATAAAGACATACTCCAATCACAACAACCTGTTCTGTGCCTCTAAACTAAATAGCTACCTCAAAAGCAACATTATGAAAAAAGAATGTCCTATGGTAAAGAAATGTGACTAGCATTTAAACCTTCAAGAGTGCCATGTTGGTGTATTCTCAAGGAACATGTTTTAAACAAAAAATCTTATCTCTTTTTATAGACAAGACCACTAACATGAATGAATTTAACCAGCTTTTTGTGCTTGTGCAATGGAAAAAAGACTATTTTAGCCATAAGGAATTTTCTAGCTTCAACTGAGAATATCAGTTTACTCAATATGTGGATGGTATACAGAATGAACTTAATGAAACTATGGTAGTTGGCCTCAAACCTTGGCCTTTAATTATGACCGCAGAAGGTTTTAATAGTCCTACATGTATTCAGCCTAATGCATAGAGAAATATTCATTCTCCTTCATGTATATATTATGTTCATGACTCGTGATAATTTTGATTCTGCTGTATCATCTTTGGTCTTTTTTTTATTTCATTTCTTTTTTTTTTTACTTCCCCTCTTATCACATGCTATAAGACATTTAATTCCTGATTCTTCTTATTCTTATTTTATTTCACTCCATCTACAGTTGTGGAAATGAGTTCCTTTGGAAACCTAACCCATCAATAGGCAAGGTCACAATAGTAAAACGACATGAAATGAATGGTTTTCAACATGTGTGATTAATGGAGAGGGTTAGTATACATTTAGGTGGAGATTTTGTTGGATCGTCTGTATTTGTTTATTGCTGTTTTCTGATTGTAACTGGTACTGGTACTTAAAAAAAATTGTCCCTTTTGTTATTTCAAAATAACTGAATAATCAAAATAAGCAGCATTGTGTATTATCATTGTCTTACCTATGTCTAATCTGTAGAATAGTAATAGTTATAACTGAGTTCAGCACAACTAAGCAACATATCTTAACCTCTTAAGGTCAGGCACACTATAGCCATCACGAAACACCAACTCATCATGACGTGTACAGCTATAGGTGTCATAACACTAGAGCAAGTCGAATGGGACGTTCTACTATACATAGCAGACTCCCAGGCTAAATGGCTGAATGGGTGCCAGAAGTCACCGGAATGAGTGACACCCGGAGAATTATGGTATTGTCATTTTAGGGTTAAACTAAGATATCAGTAAAGAACACTAATATAAAAATAAGCTGCATATAATACATATCACTTAAACCTTATGCTTGCTCCTAAGGAACTCATTTGCACAACTGTACTGAGAGACTTGATGAACATTCCATATAGTATTAACCCATTGCCGCCAGTGAAAATGAACAAAAAATGGGGAAAGTGCTGTGCCTATTTTCTATCCTTTTTTGTTAAATGTCTGCCCATAGATGGCTCTGTTAGTGCCTGATTTGAAATGGCGGGAAAAACGTATTTTTCACTATTGCCATGAATATCGATGGTGTTGTTTTGTTATAAACATTATAATTTTTATAATGTTTTTTAACATTAGTAACAGCAAAATAAGATAACATAAAATATTTCGTAAATCAAAGAAAAGGGTGAACGGGCGAGACAGGCGGTACTCGTAACTGGCTCATTGGTGATTTAGTACAAGTGTAGCCATCTATGTTTAAAAACAATCTAACAAGTAATCTCACAGTGGGCATGGCATGGCATGCCCGTCGGGAATGGGTTAACTTCTTTCCATTAAATAGCATTTACTTTTACTTGCATGTATGTTAATCCTACCATCCCTTCAAACTATGGATTCTAAGAAGAAGGGGTGGAAAGGGCAGGAGGGGGAGGAGTCACAGCATAAAAATTAAACAATAAAATGAAGCTGTATCATAGAAGCATCAAAAAGGGATGACTGGCTTCCTGTTTGAGAACTTTTCTTTTTGATCTTTGTTTCCTAGGAATCTTGACAACCTACTCTCTTTATCTAGATGTTTAAATGAATAAGTGTAAACTTGGTTCTCAAAATATGGTTTTGATCAAGAGAAATCAACAAGGATATTCATATAAATAATGTCTTACTTGTTCCAAAATGTTCCATCTCATAAAATAATCAATAAAATTATACAGAGCAATGAAAAAGAGGAATCATTCGTCATTTTTGTCCTTAAATGTTTAAATGACACTTGAAAATAGAAATCTGCTGATAAAGAGCAGTTACACAGCCAACTCTTGCATTACACTCATTCAGAGAACATCCACACATGTACAAATGCATGGTGGAACATACACACTTAAACACTAGAAGGATTTGTGTACAAAAAATATAAATGAAATATTGATCAGAACACAAATTAGATCAAATCGACTGAGGAACCCATAATGCATTAAGAAGAAAAAATAGCAACTGAGGAACTATCATGTTTTCTTTGCCATGGCATTCTTAGGTTTTCTGTGATGTTCCATTTTAATGTATCAGCACACACAAAATGGCAACCTTATAAACTCACTTTTAGGAACCAATTTAACTTGCACCAATAATTAACTAGTATATATAAAAATCATCATCATAATAGTAATAATGGCAAAATAATCACTAGTGCATTTAGCCACAGCTACATAAGAGTTTCACAGTAATCAAAGGTAACTTAGCTGGCTTGATTACTGTTCCCAGGGGAGATATCAAAAATCAAAAACCTCCGAACACTATATAAAAAAGTTTCAAATCATTTCCAACCATTGTTGCTCAATCTACATGTTCCACATATTATCCACTGACCTTCACTTTCTTTTGCTTACTTTTCCAATGCTTCCTTCTTGGCAGATGTTTGTGATGTGTTTTCGGAAACTATTCTGAAGGATGACCCACTGTTAGATGCATCTGCACCACTGAGCCTTTCAAGTTTCTTAAGATTATATTTCCTACTTGAGTTGTCTCTACTGGACGTGTTCAAACTCTCCTCTCCTGGCACATTTTCTACCTCCTGCTGAGCTTTCTGCAACACACGCGTGAAGGGCGATGTGGCTGCCAGGTAAAGTCGAGTGTCATATGAGAACATGACTCCTAAGGCAACATTGAATGCTGAAGCGTCATAATGGTGGCACCCTGAGTAGCGGAAAAGCGGCTTTTTGTCATACCTGAAATGCAAGATAATGCAAAGTAAATTATATTACTTGCAAGTAAGTATTTAGTCTTTTAAATGAGATACACAGAAGGTGACTTTCCAAATAATTTTGAATGTGTCTTTTCCATTGAAGCAAGGCTGAAATATGCGACAGCATGATGTACCAACATAACTACTCACATGTAACTTATACATACCTAATAATATATGTGTAGGTATATGATTTACATTTAATATTGCATACCAGTGAGAGAGAGAGAGAGAGAGAGCAAGAGAGAGAGAGAGAGAGAGAGAGAGAGAGAGAGAGAGAGAGAGAGAGAGAGAGAGAGAGAGAGAGAGAGAGAGAGAGAGAGAGAGAGAGAGAAGAGAGAGAGAGAGAGAGAGAGAGAGAGAGAGAGAGAGAAGAGAGAGAGAAAGAGAGAGAAAGAGAGAGAGAGAGAGAGAGAGAGAGAGAGAGAGAGAGAGAGAGAGAGAGAGAGAGAGAGAGAGAGAGAGAGAGAGAGAGAGAGAGAGAGAGAGAGAAGAGAGAGAGAGAGAGAGAGAGAAAGAGAGAGAGAGAGAGAGAGAGAGAAAGAGAGAGAGAGAGAGAGAGAGAGAGAGAGAGAGAGAGAGAGAGAGAGAGAGAGAGAGAGAGAGAGAGAGAGAGTCTACCAGGTTGATTCTTCATAAGATTTCTCTCTCTCTCTCTCTCTCTCTCTCTCTCTCTCTCTCTCTCTAACATGCCTTGTCTGGCATCCACTGTATGTAACAAATATATCAAATCAAATCAAATAAAATTTATCTCTCTCTCACGTTATAGGCTAACACAAATACACCAAAAACACTGTAGTGAACCTCCGCTGAAGGTGAGGTTCCAAGTGAATTTTAACAATGATAGCCTGATCCAATAGAAAGTCTGTTTCTGCTCTTACATTTATTCACTGGTCACAAGTGCCACAGACAACAGAAACACAATAAACTATGCTTATCACGTGACCAGTCTTGACCTCTCTGTTGATCTGACTGACTCTGGCTCCACTCACTCTGTCACTAATCTCCCTCTCTCTGACTCTCTGTTATTCTGGAAGTCAGCACCATATTTTCTCTACACAGCTGGGAGCTTTGGCTGCCTCCCCTAGTTACTGTATTAGCACTTGTAGGACTGACTTGTGCTAGCCTGTTGAGTTCAATTGTCTATGAGGGCTATCTATCATCTAAAATAAAAGGTCAAGTAAAGGTCAATCAGGTGGCCTTCTGTGAGGTCCAGGTATCTTCATGAGACACCTTCAACACATTTAAGCATTCACAAGTAAATACACACACACACACACACACACAAATAAAAAAACAAAAAGATCATGCACACAACTAGCACAATGAAAAGTAGAGATTTACCTGCAGCCTGTATCTTGGGCACCTATTGGACTGATGCAGTTGTGTGTGAGGGCACAGGATACCCAGGGTTTCATCAAGTGATCATGGACATCTTTTGTGTTATAGACTAACATTGTGCCTGCATCTCCCATCTGTTGAAAGTAAGGAATGATTATTTCCTTTTGTTTACCAACCATTTCTTAGATTTTCTTGTTCTAAATACAGAAATTTTATCAATTTACTAGTATTTATATATATATATTTCTTTTCCTGCATTATGTTCTTGCTACAACAGAGAATATTAAATGCATATATAAAAGACATACAATATTTATTTACACTACTCATCATTCTGAAATTCCCATTCTTCAAAGTGGGAAACTGAACTAGTTGTTAGATAAAGCCTGTCATTAATTAGCTTAAATGTAAATGTTTTATAGAAAAGCATTTACATAAAACTTACTTTATACATTTTTACTGATAACAATTTGAAAACCTTATCTTTGTCCGACAAGAATGAGATTGATATCATAAGTAGAGTGATTGCGTAATTTTTTCATGGGAGAGTGAAATGAATTACAAGTTTATCATCCTTAATCTATATGAATTCCTTTGTTTGATTTGTTGATTAAGACCTGTATCATAGACATAGTATGTCATGTAAAAATAAATCTGGGAAAGTTTCCACCCTAATAAGCAAGGCCAAGAATCTAGACAAGGATGGGAATCACATCACTGGTAAAATTACCTGCTGAAAATCATAATAATTCTTTTTGGTGTGGAAGAAAGTAAACATATTGGGGTGAGTAAGGGCTGCTGTGGGGAGGAGCGCAGGGTGGGGCAGAGGCCAGGTCAAGACACCACCGTTCTTAACTGCCCAACTGCTCCATTCTGCCATTTTCTCAGCTGCCATGTTGGCATCCTGAACTTCACTCACTAGTCGCACACTAGCATCTAGCCACAGGACTGCCCCCGCACGAACTAATAATTCCTGTTGGTGAGAGGGAAAATTTTATGTATATGGACAAAAATGATATCATTATGAAAAAGAAAAAAGAAAAAGAAACTCATAAAAAAATA